CAAAAAACACCTTATCAACCACATAGAAATAAAAAAAAAGCTAGTTTTATTATTTACAATTTCTCTTAAGAAACTCTTAAAAACAACAACTAAATGAGGACACCAGCACTGACCCAGCAGATTTATGCTGTGGGAAACTGACCAACTCTCGTCATTCTTAGTTTAGCCTGTGACTTAAGTATCATTTTGAAGTCAGGAAATGGTCAAATTGCCGCTGGGTCAGATCCATCTCGCCCTCTATTTCCTTTCTTTCGTCCATTCGTTTTCAAGTTATGAGCCACTCACCTTTTAAACCAGAAGCACCATCCCTTGAACTGAGAGTAAGTTCTGTTTACTTACAATGACATAATCCTGTTCATTTAAAACTTGTAAAACAATGGAAGCATTGGAACGATGTTTTCCCCAAAGGCATTATAAGTTATGAAAGATTCTCATAAAAGCCCTTTCCTCTATATTGTGGAATGGGGTGTGCTGTAAAACAAAGGTCTTTTTGTCTCTACGGGTTTCTTGTTACGATGATAATATTGTGCGATTTTATGACTACAAGGCTTTTTTTGCCATTCTGTGCTCTGACATGCTGGGATAACGTGATGAAGGATTTAGAACTGGTTTCGACTGATATGAAAGCTACTGTACTCACTGACCTGCGGCAACGATGCAAAACCAGTGAAACCTAAAGTGCTGACTTTACCATTTGGCCTTTAAACATCTATAAAACACAGACGTCCTTCCTGTTGGACACCCTGACAATGTTTCCAAGTGAGTTCATATGTATAGCATGACCTTTGACCTCATATTTCTAGGCCCTAAATCTGAGTGAGTCATATAAAGAAATGTCCAAATCAATCAACACACATGCAGTTACATAAGAATATGCCAGAACTTTAAGGCACTCGCTGCATTGCAACATTCGCCATCACTGTTGCCACAGCAACCGTGGGATCCGTGTAAACAGAGCCGGTAAAGTTATATGTTGCCTCAGATCTTTCAGAGGTGAGCCAATCAGGACCAGGATGCATTGACGTCCTAGCCAATTAGAGAGTGAATGGAGCTTTAGGAATGTGCTGACAGGTCAGTAGAGGCCCAGGGTATTCTGGGAATTTTAGATAGAGTAAACCTCAGTTCCCCAGCAACTGTAGGGGACAAAAAACACATGGAGCATTACAACATTATTTGCTTAAAGCATTACAGACATTTTAAGATGTCTCATAAAAATCTGAGAGAGTCAATATTTTACATTTATATTGCCCTGTTCAAGTTTGTTTAGGCAGCCTTTGAAGTACTTGCCTTATTTGACAAATTATTTTATTGGAAAAATAAATGTAAGACTCAAGATGAGAAAAGTGCAAGATTTAAAGTGCAGAATAAATGAAAAAAAAGTGGTGCATCTTAATTCTTGCTACAAGTTACTTTGTAACCAGTAGGTGGCGACATGTGA